GGCATATTCGGTCCTATTTGCTGTCATAAATTATTTATCCCCAGAAATTAACTGATTTCAGTCGATTAGACACACTGTTTCAGAATTGCATATGAATCTGAATCTGTGTCATGCTTTTGTGTGTGTGTGTTGAAAGCAACAGGGTATGTGCCTCAGCATCTCTGCCTGGTTTTGTTCATTGTGCTGCAGCAGGGATCACAACAGCACAGATGTACTGTGTCAGCAAACACGATCACAATGGACCATCTCTCTCTAACGCGCACACACAGACACACACACACACACACACACACACACACACACACACACACACACACACAGTCTGATACGCGTGTAAAAAAGTGTCAAATGTACACATTGTGAGGGATCAGGTGGAGAGATAATACAGATATTAGACATTTACATCTTTATATCTTACATTATCAAAAATAGTCATCCTTACCACATTTCATTTTAACAGACCCACTCTTTTGTTTGTTTGTGTATATATATGTGGGATCGATTCCCACTCACTGACTGTGTGGATGGTTGTTTGTCTCTATGTGTGCCTTGCTGGCGACCAGTACAGGGTCTAGTTTGCCTTTTGCCCTGAGTCAGCTGGGATAGGCTCCAGCATACCCTGCTCGAAAGGATAAGCAGTGTTGAAAATCTATGACATGGCATGACACCATATTGTATATTTTAATTGATGAATGGCTTACTTTGTCTTTACCAGCATATTTGTTGTTGAAGTCGTGTAAAACTACTTTAAGTAGGTCATGTTGCTTCACTTTCATATTCTGGTACTTGAATTACGGTTTTGACGACAAACACCTTGAAAGTTGCTCATCCATTTTCAAGTGGATCGTGTGCGACCCAGGGCTATACCGCGGTCAGCCACAAGAGGAAAGTCGAGCTCCCCAGTTCTGGATTTCATCTTGCGAGTGTGTCGCTTGCATGGCAAGACCAGTAGGTGGCACTAAAGGAACACAAAACAAAAAGTCCGCGCGCGAGCACAAACTACATACTGTACGTACAAATATTTTTGTTTTCTTTTGTTTTGCTTTTACATTGTACCTACACAAATTCCCTGCAAGTTTAAGTCACAACCTGTTATGTTCTTCCAACCCAGCATCCACCGTACCAACCTAACGCGTGTGAACTTTTAATTTGCCTTTAATTGTATTGAAATAAAAGTATTTACTGTAGCTGTAAATGTTGTTCAACAAGGAATCCAATTAACATGGAGAGCAATTGTGTCTTTACATCTTCTAACAATGGCGGCGGAGCTTTCATTGTGGCTTCCTCTGGATTGGTTTTGATGCAGTTAATCATAGAACGCCCAAATAATCTCTATTTAGGTTGTACAGTACTTGACTCTAGAAAAACTAAACTAAAAGAAAGCAAAAAAAAAATTAAATAGGGCAACACGATATGGCTTTGAAATAAAACCCTCTAATCCCACAAAATAAAATGTCTGATTTATTTAACTTTTCCGCTTAAAGAAATTATAATAATAATAATAAATAAGTGTTCACATATCAACTCAACTGTATTTATAGAGCACTTTAAAACAACCACCGCTGTTATATATATATATATATACAACAATAAATCAATAAATTAATAATAAAGACAGCAGAAAGCACAAAAACAGTAAAGCTGAGCTCTCCGTACCTCTAATAGTGTCTGGTCCGCAGACCTGAGGCAGGGCAGGTGTGTAGGAACGGAGGAGCTCAGAGAAGTAAGATAACTTTTCTTGTCTCACAATGGAGAAATTCGCAATTTACAGCAGCAAAATTTTGAAGGGAAGAAAACAGAAAACCAAAGTAATAAATTTAAAAAATGAACTGTACACAGTACAGAATGGAGCCATTTACATATTTAAAAATATTTAAGAACAAATAATAGGATCTGCAGGAGAACTCTAGAATGTATAGGGAGCCAGTGATATTTACATTTATCTTCACAAATATACCTTACTGGATAAATATTAGTACACTATTTTAAATGTGTCTTCAAGTACCACTAGAGGAAGCCCAAATACCAAATTTTGGAACTCACTGTCACGGTCACTGCTCTGGGCCAACTAAAAGGAACAGTGAAAAAGTGAACAGTACAATGTTTTACGATAAATGTTTACATGTATTAGGTTTTTCAACAAAGTCCACAACAACGTGCAAAACAATTTGCAGTGTACGAACAACAATAAAAAAAAAAGAAAGTCACTAACGTTGTGTACAACTAAATTAAAAATATCCAAAACCATTAAAATGTCAAGCAAAAAAGTTTTTTCGTGTTTATGTTAGTCTAGGGCTTCATTCTATTGTTATAGTTTTAGTTAGCTATTGTTAAAAACCAAATGTACAACCAAACCACATGATTGTGTCTAACCAAAACTTAAGGCAAACAAAAACTGTGAAATGCCATCGCAAATGAAAATTAGCAGTAAATCTACGGGCCAACGTTCAACTGCCATCAGTGAGACCAAGATCTGAGTGTCATCCGCACACTGTAGCTGTGGTAGGGCTCCATCGAACTACATATTAACTGTCCTCATGGCAGCATTTACACATCAAACAAAAGGGGTCACAGCATTGACCCTTGGGGAACTCCATGCTGGAGATTATCATAGTTGGGGACTTTTTCTGCCTCTTCTTACTCCTATTTACTTGCGTCTGTGATCTTTTTTCTATCCATGTATTCATATTGTGACTTTTAAACACTGTAACCATTTGAATGCACGTTTGTGCCACTATTAAGAATTACTCTTCCGTTCTTTCGAGTACCAGTAAATAGTTTGTTCTCACCTCTTTCTCAAATGCTTACCTCCCTCCTGAACTGTTTGCTTCTTTTCTCAACTCCCCACCCAATTCTCAATGCCTGCTCACCTCATCCCTGTTCATCTCCTGAACTCCTGGGCCAATCCTAGTCTTCTCTTCAACTCTTCTCCTCTCTCCACAACTCCTCACCCATTCCTCAACTCCTTGTCACCAGCCTCAACTCATTGCTTTTCTCACCATTTTCCCCCCATCGTTCCTCCATGTTCCACAGTGGTTACAAAGCGGCATCATTGTGGCTTTGTGCTTTTGTTTGTCTCGCCACCCGCGGTGCGGTGCGGCGGAGCAGCGGGAGGCGTTGGCGCTCCGCTCCCCGGCGGGAAGCGAAGCTCGCTGTTGACACATTGGGAGGCGGCACCAAAGCCCAAAGCGGATGGGCCGCATTTGTAATCTACCTTTTCATGTCATCGGCACGCTTGAAATCCCTCCGTCCCTTTTCGATAGCACCCCCCTCCCGCTCCCACCCAATGAATGATGAAGTCTATCTGACTTTGTCCGAGAGAGTCTCCACACAAGCACAGAGAAGACATAGACACTCTGTGGCCCAGTCGCCAATCAATTTTAGGTCGATGACAGGCAAGTAGTGCAATGGTTGCCAGTCAGCAAACACATTGACTTACAATGGCACGGCCTCAATCATAGACAAAGTACATATAGTGTGTGTGTGTGTGTGTGTGTGTGTGTGTGTGTGTGTGTGTGTGTGTGTGTGTGTGTGTGTGTGTGTCATGAATACAAGCAATGATCACCCATTTGAAGTAGAATACCATGACAACTGCCCGTGTCGGTGTCCGTGCGCGCGTGTGCTTGCGCGCACGCGTCCGTGTGTGTGTGTGTGTGTGTGTGTGTGTGGGTGTGTGTGTGTGTGTGGGTGTGTGTGTGTGTGTGGGTGTGTGTGTGTGTGTGGGTGTGTGTGTGTGTGTGGGTGTGTGTGTGTGTGTGAGAGAGATCATTAAAAAGTATTGAGGGGGAATAAATGCTTTAAATGTGGAGGCTGTGCAGCCTTTGTGGCTTTGTGTGTTATCGGGTGTTTGTTTGCACAGTTCGACCACCCATTCTGGAATATGTTTTTAAACCTTGAAGTGGACCAAGTTAGTTTACAAATGTGTCTATGTATGCATATATATATATATATATACACACACACACACACACACACACACACACGACTCACACTCTCTCTCTCTCTCTCTCTCTCTCTCTCTCTCTTTTTATCGCGCGGGTGGGCGCATGCACGCACGCGCACACATACAGTATGTAAGATATTTTACATGAAAGTCAAAATGCATAAGCATAATAATAATAATAATAATAATAATAATAATAATAGGCCCCAATTAAAAGAAAGAAAAGTAGCAAAAGTGTGCGTTATTCCTCCACAAATGAATGTTGACAATGAATCAGAAAATCAAAAACAATCATTTACTATCTGATATTCCTTCTTCAATCCTAAATGCAATGAGACGTAAACATGATCAAACATTAATTCCAAAACGCTGACAAATGCAAACAAAAGAGAGAAAAAAAAATCTTTCCTGTGGCTGAGAGATGACGACATGATTAGAAGTATTAGAAGTATTATGATGACAGAATTGTCAATGTTTCAAAACCACCCCTCAACTGATGTTATTGAATCAAATCTGAATAAGACACGTGATCGTTTGCTTTCATACTGTGTAAGGGGTTTTTCTTTTGAGAAAAACTTCCTAAAAGGTTTCATGAATAAATCATTTATTTCGCGGTGGAACAAAGATGCTACAGAGATAGAAACAAGTTCACCCTGCAACAAACCAACATAACGCTTAATTGTTTGTAATAGATTACCTAAAGATGTTTTTTTATCGTACGAAACCATTTATTTATCACTCAATTGCCTAGTGACACATTAAAAAAAAGAAAAAATGCTGATGATTTTTTTTTTTTTAACTAAGATTGATGATGTTATTTATTATAACATTTGACTTGCTTTTTTCTGGCTTTGTTTACCGTTGCGACTTTGATATTGGACAAAATATTACACTTATTGTCGTTCTTTTTCTGGTTTTCTTTTTTCTGATAAAAAGAAAATAAGGGGAAAAGGAAGGTGTCTTAAACTGCATTTACGACATGTCAATCAAGTCTTCAGTCTAACGTGAATTGATTAGCTTGATATCTCTTTTGTCACACTGTTAAAAAAAACTCACAACTCGAATCGACGTCATGCATGTATTGGTTCGAAAATAACTATTTGGTTTTTTTTTTTCCCTGCTTGCGTGTGGGTCCTGCCTTCCAAATTTGGTCAAAAAACAAGCGGAAGTGGCCGAGTGACGACATTGACCCACCTCCTCGGCCTCGCGCTTTTTTAACGAGCACGCGCCTCTCGTTTGTGCGTGCGTGCGTGCGCTGCAGTCCATGCTCGCTTCTCGAACAAGAAAACACAGAACACACAGGAACCTGTCGGAGAATACAAACACAAATTATTGTACTTCGGAACTTTTCCCCGCATTCCAAATTTCTTCTTTGGCTCTTTGTCATGTTTCCCGCGCGCGCGCGCGCCATGTCTTTGGGACGCGTCGGCTTCTTGGTGCGGGACATTCTGGACCTGCCGGACGCTGCGGGGACGTGCTGCGGTTCCGGTGCCGAAGACCCGGAAGAAGACGAGGCCGACGCCAAGGCCGAGGCCGAGAAGAACCACGCCGAGTCTCGCCTCAACTTGTCACGTGAGCGCAAATTTACAACACAAATGATGGTCAGCTGTAGGGGGACAAGTCATGCTTGCCAGTTCTGGGGCAGTTCGGTGTTCGAATCTCGGCTCTGTTTGCATGTGCTCCAATTCGATTGATTAATTGCTAAATGAACGACTCGATGAATGACCGCAGTTCGTTTGACGGCGACTTTGTCCTCCGCAGTGCACGCGCGTGCGGGCGCGTCACCGGACGAGCCGCGCGACGTCGGTGGCCGTAAAAAGCGTCGCGTCCTCTTCTCCAAAGCGCAAACGTCGGAACTGGAGCGTCGCTTCCGGCAGCAGCGCTACCTGAGCGCGCCCGAGAGGGAGCACCTGGCCGGCCGCATCCGGCTGACCCCCAACCAGGTGAAGATCTGGTTCCAGAACCACCGCTACAAGATGAAGCGGGAGCGCGCCGAGCGCGCGGAGCGCAGCGTGGAGGCGCTGCGGCAGGCTCAGCGCGGATTCGCCTCCGCTGCCATCCCGGCGGTTGTGCTGCGGGACGGGAAACCGAGCGAGCGGGTCAGCGGCCTGCTCGACCTGCGGTTGGCCTTTCCGCTGTGCGCCCACGCGCACCTAAGCCAGCGGGCCATCGCGAGGCTCACCTGCTGGAACGGCAACTGGACCTGAGCCGCGCGAGCGCGCACACGTCATTGGATACAAGCACTCTTGAAGCACTCTTTTCATTCTATTGTTCTTTTCGTATTTTTTAGTCTGAATAAAAAACATGTTTTATTTCATGTTGACAGATTGTAAAGTAGATTTCACGTCTACTGTAAATGTGTTTTTCTAAATTATTTCTAATGTTTCACAACGTATCAATCGAGACGGTTTTGTACTTTTAAAAAAATGTTTGTATTCATGTTATGAACAAAAAAGTCATTCGATCAGGGTTGCTGACCCAACTGGCGTTTCAATTGAACACATTTCAATTATGTACCCGACCTTGCATGTTCAAGTGAAGCTGATTTTTGATGTGGAGTGATGTATAAAAGCTATCCCTAAAATAAAAATGACATGTTTTTTTTTTTAACAAAATGCTACAGAAACCTCATCTTGAAATTTGACCTTTTAAGATGTTAATGTTGTCCATGAGAATTCTTGATGAGGGCAAAATCTTATTGAGTCATGTGTGTTGTGTTGCATGTTTTGTGGTCGACATGTGTACGTGGGTGTGCATGAGGATGGTTGAAGTCAGCCTTTACTGGCGGTGACAGTGGGGGGTCAGGAAGCCCCCCCCCCAAAAAAAAAAAAAACTTTCCATGCGAGCTGGGCCAAACGAAAGGATGAGCCATCATTAGGACTCCGAAACGTTTGATCATATCTCAGCTCATAAATGTCTTTCATTTCTTCATCATGATGAAATCAAATACATTGAAGGCATTCACGCATCCTAATGCTTGGCTGGAAATTGAGATTCCCAATTTGCTTTTGAAATAAAGACAAATAATCGTGAATTGAGCACAGTGTAATGTTTGTGTTGTTTTTTTTTTTTGTTTTGTTTTATTTTTTCTTAAGATCACGGAACAATGCGGTATGCGTTCCGCTAACAGGCGCACAATGACAAATGCGACAACATCAACAAACAAACCTGCACGGTCCAATTCATGGGAAGAACGTGAGTAGAAAGTGCAGACGAAATATCAGCAACAGCAATCGACATTGAAAATTAAATATACAGTGGAAATGAAAAAAAACGTGGCTGCGAAAATGATCACTGAAATTTAAAATAAATTATGTGGAAGTCTAGCTATGTAAACGTATAGAAAGGCAACACACTATTTATTGGAGGGAAGACTCCTCAGAAACGTTGATTGTAAAAAGACAATCGCTGAAAAGACTCACTGTGTCGGCAGGCCTGTGACGTCACGCGCTCACGAGGATTCATCCAGTTGTGATGTCATGTGGGCGATAGAAAAGAAAAAAAAAGTGCAGTTAGTCATACCCAAGATTGCAAAGTATTCATTTAGTTACGTTCATGCTGTCATAATTCTACTTCTTATTGTTTTTCGTATTTTCAGCTGCACGACACTAACATGCAGTTTACCGAACTGACGGAAGGTGGCAGCAGACGCTTGACCAATGACACACGCTTTGAAAACGCAGCACGAAGCCACCAAAACTCCACCGTCGTCAGCAACAGTGACCAAATAACAATAATTGGTGTTAAAACACACACACACACACACACACACGCACGCACGCACGCACACACACACACACACACACACACACACACGCGGGCGAGCGCAAATCAAATTAGAATCCGAGTCTCGACGATTTTTGAGGCTGATCTAAAAATAGTCTTGATTGTTTTTTTCGCATATCGAGTTTTGAGGCTCATTTCATTTGAATTTTTTTTTCACCTCTGAAAGCTTTCGAAATACGCATTTTACAACGCGTTGTCATTTATTGCTGTGACGCTGCAGAAAAAAAGAATCCACCTGTTGTTGAACATATCCCTTTCATTCATAAATATTAATACATAGTTCACTTATTACTATTACTGCTACTATTATAATAAAAACCTAATGTGCTGCAGGAAAAACAACGAGGGCAGATTTGAAATCAGGGGAAAAAAAATAAAAATCGTTTACTTTTATCTGATTTGAAAAAAATGAGTAAAAACGTGTTGACCACTATTATTGTTAGTAATAATAATAACAACTCGGCGGCCAAACAGGAAGTGATATCACGACATCACGTACGCCATCTGTTTCCTCTCGATTCCTTTGTTGACATTTGACTGGTGACCACTCAGTGGTTTGTCTCACAGCCAGTCGGCAAGTGGCACTGGCAGATGGGCTCTGCCCCCGCATGAGCGCATGGCTGCTGAGTGGCAACAAAGATGTCGGTTGCCGTTGCCATGGTTACACGGAGGCCAGGTCACATGGCCAAGCAGGTTGCAGAGGAAGAAGGTTCAGAAAACTAATTCGTCAGTCAGATAAATTTATGCAAAGACTCACGACTCCGGAAGTCTGTTTTGGTTTGGGGGCGTGGCTTGAATCAGGTGTATTTGGAGGAAGGAAACATCGAAAACAGGCTGTAAAGAGGCTCCCGGGGACCCAACTTGAATGGACACCCTTAGGGAATACGTCCGACTTCACTACACGTTTCCGCAACACGGCAAAATGGCTCTCTCGCGGATGGAGATTGACTCCTAACACAATTTAACTCAACTCAACTTCATTTTGACAGCACTTCAAAGGACAACAACAACAACAACCACTGGAGCTGTAATGTCAATCGAAACGAACACGATGACTTGATTGTGTCCAAACAGTGACCCCGCCTCCTCGTTAGAGACAGGTGGTGTGGAGGGGGTCCTTTCAAACAACCCCACCGCACCCCCAACCACCCTCCCACCACCACTACAGTGGTCTCCCACTCTTGAATGCACTCAGGTGATTGGTCCGAATTGAGAGAGCATGAAAGTGCGACCATTTGGCTGGCTGCTGGGAGAAGGTGGAAAGGGGGGGGGGCATCGGGGCTTGCAAATATTCAAGTATATTCAAGTCTGCCATTGGACATTTAATATCTTCATCAACTCAATCATCATTTTTCGTTTTAAAATCTATATAAATCTGCTTCCATTGCCAACAAATATGTCAACTCATCTGTTATTGCTTTTTACACCTGAAGGCCATTCTATTTTTTTTCTCGAATAAAGGCTACACTGACACGTTATTTAATACACAATTGACAGTCACGACACACTCGCGATTCAGTTAACCATCACAATTCGCATTTTCAAATGCTTGAGGAAATGAAAGGAAGACGAGCAAACCTTCTCCGCAGGCAGGAAGTCATCAGGTAAAAGACCGGATGTAGGAGGAGCTACAAGAACATTTTGGACACAGCAACACTTTCTGTCAACCGTCCCATATTTTTTTTTCAAGCTATAGAAAATGTAAGGCATCTAATTATGACGTAGATACTGAAAAATAACTTGTTAAGACGACTAGAGTACAATTTTTTAAATGTGTCAAAAACACGTTTGTAAGTAAATTAAACTGAGGTTTGTTGGAGTTGGAACTTCCTGTTTTTCTATTGACATTATTCAATGAGGTTCTTGGGATTTCATACACACACACACACACACACAAATCGAACACAAATTAGCTTAGCTGACTCACCTGCATGTCAAGTTGCTGAGGAATGCGCGTTCAAGTCGAAGCTGTCAATCAGCGCCGTCGCTCCGCCCCCTCCACCCTCCACGGTTGGGATAAGGTTTGGCATGCAGCACGTCCCGGTCTCATCGTGCAACAGGAGGGACGAGGTGGTGGGAGGGAGGGAGGCGTCCTTGCGTCCAGCATGTCCCTGAGCCCCCCGAGACACTCCACCCCCTTCTCGGTCACCGACATCCTGCAGCACAGCCCCATGGACGACGTTTACCGGAGGTTCGGTGGCAGCGCCGCCGTGCAGGAGCCCAGCCCGACCAGCCTGTACCGGTACCAGCAGCAGCACAACCATCACCACCATCATCATCATCAGCAGCAGCAGCAGCATCACCATCATCATCAACAGCAACAGCACCTGTCCACTTCCTCCGCATCCTCCGGGGCCTACAGCACCGTCGCCGCCGCCGTGCCGCCCTTCTCGGGGTCGATCGGGGGGTTCTGCGGAGGCGGCGGGGAGATGCCGGCCTATCAGGAGACGCTGAGGGGTGTTGCCCCTACCGCTGCGGCCTGGTACGGCGGCCCCGAAACAAGATACGCACCAAGTTAGTTCAGTTCATTTCAATCCACTTTGCCACATACGATTGACACATAAACTGCGACTCTTTTTAAATACTATAAGTGTGAGGGGGGTTAATTGCGGGAGACTTACTCCCAGTTCATGCATCTTTTTGTTGTTTTCAAATGAAGACGACACGGCGAAACGGATCCACAAACCACGCTTAAAATGGCATCACAAAAATAACCCAACTTTGATTTGAACGAAAAATGATTAAAAGTTGGAAAGACTCAAAACTGAAAGTGACCAAAGGACCCCAAGGTCTATTAATTTTCAATTTTGTTTTCATTTTTACGAATAGTAATATTTAGTTTCCTTTATTTAGATTCGAGAACTCGTGTTGGGTATTGAAAAGAACAAGCGGACTATTTTCAACAGTCGCAAAAAGTTACTCACTTTCATTCATCTTTCGCGATTTTCAAGAGCGGAGGATTCGTTCGTTCACAAATATTGAAAAATGCCTGACTAAAATGTTAACATTTTTAGGGAAAAAATGTTTTGTTTACATTTTCCCCGTAAAAAAAACAAGCAAAAAATAGTGTAGGTTCTTTAGTTACTTTCAGTTTGCTTATGGGCAATTTGGTAATCGTTTTGTGATCGAACCAGACTTCAACGTCGAGGGCGTTTAAAAAAACTGAAAATGCTGAAATGTGAGTTACTTAATTGTTGCCGCGATCACTCACATTACTACACTAATTTCGTGCAATATTTCAGCAACATTTTTCGGCTTTATTCCCAAATTTAATGTCAGTCCTTTTGAGTTGTCAAATTTCTTACGACACAAAACCGTTTTCGTTTCAATTCGCTGCGTTGTAGTCAATTTGTTTAAATTACCGTTACAGGACAAATACGTTGCATAAAAAGGAAATAATGTTGTACTTCGAACCGAGTCGTAATTTGAGTTTTAGTATAATTTTATTTTCCATTGGAAAGGTAGGAGTCGATCCGTGTTGTGTTTGAATAAATAAATATCGATGATACATGTTCTCCCCCCCCCCCCCAATGCTTTGCTGGGCCATTAATTGTCGAAATCTTGCAATAACATCGCGCGGATCTTGACGACTTTTTCGCACGACCACGTGCGTTGTCGATTTCCAGTTTCCCGGCTGATGGGCTCCTGCGGCGGGATGCCGGGCGGCCTCTCGGCCTTGGACGGCGGCGCCAAGGCGGCCTTGTCCGCGGCCCCGCGGAGGAAGCGTCGGGTGCTCTTTTCGCAGGCGCAAGTATTCGAGCTGGAGCGCCGCTTCAAGCAGCAGAAGTACCTGTCGGCCCCCGAGAGGGAGCACCTGGCCGGCCTCATCCACCTCAGCCCCAACCAGGTCAAGATTTGGTTCCAGAACCACCGCTACAAACTCAAACGGCAGCTTAAGGACAAAGCGGCCCAGCTGCAGCACGACGCGGGCGGCCTGTGCGCGTCCGCCCGCCGCCCCTCGCCGGTGCTCGCCAAGCCAGGCCGAGGCGACTCCGAGCCGGCGGCGGCGGGGGCGGCGGAGGCCAAGACGATCGCCAGCCAGCAGCTGGAGCGAGATGCTCGGGAGGAGCCGGAGGGCCGGGAGCACCGGGAGAGCAAAGGGGGCCGCTCGCACACGGACACGGCGCTGCTTGACTACGCCGGCGGCGTGCTCGGCTCCTCGGTGGGATCCACTTTGCTCTACGGCAGAACTTGGTAGGACAGAACCGGACTGAGGACACTGCAAGTTTTCATTTGATATACAGCGCTTCAGATCACGGGTGGGTGAATGGATGGATTAACATTTGATGTATATATAAAAGACAGACTTGGAGCCAAAGTTTGGGCTGCCTTGAAAAACGTGAGAAGATTCCAGACTCTTGAATTATTTCGGCTTTCAAGATTAAATGTTCTTTGTAGTTCGTTCCGATTGTCAATAAATATTTGAATTTTTAGCTCGCCATCCATTCTTTATTGGACACAACCGATTCTAAATGAAATTACAAAACTCAGTTCTAAATCATGAAAACACATTTTGAGGTTTCGGATGAAATTAAAATTTTCCACATGACTTATTCTTTTATTGGACAAGTTGTAAAAGGTGACATTGGAGAATCTCTCAAAGGTATACAACATTGACTATGTTTAAAAGTTCTAATTAGCTTTTACTTCCAAGCAGAAGAATTAAGGGGGGGGGGGGACTTGTGACAAGAGGACAAGGATTTAAAAAAAAAAAAGAAAAAAAAAGACGTTCATTTCCACACATATCTTCTGGATGGCGGTGGTGCAGGGTAACCTCCTCTGTTGGAGCTGCTGTGGGCCTAAAAATCAAACACAGGGCATTTATTTATAAGAAGACTGAACTTTTTGGGGCGAGCCTCCTCCGTTCCCAAAACAAGAGTAGGAAGACAAAACTTGTTAAAATCTTCTTCGCCATCACGGAAATTCGCCATCAACGTGCAACCTGAAATACGCGCACCAACTCCATATTCACAATCAAAATGATTACATGAGTCGGAGTCACGTGCGTTTATATGATTAGTGGTCCAATAATGAATGAGATTGGTGCCGAGTGATAGCTGATGCACAATAAAGAAATTGCAATTCAGTTGCTCAAGTTGAACCCATCAAGAGAAACTAGTGAGCGGACGAGCATTCCGGGCAGAGTGCATTTTGGTACCTGGTACTGCTGTCCGCGCTCATCCCGCTGTTCGCGCCAGTCGCTTCTTTGCTGGTGGAAGCGCTGCTGGTAGCCGCTGGGCCCGGGCCCGGGCCCGCCGCCACGGTTGGCGCTGTGTTGGTACGCCGCCCGCTGCGACTGCATGGCCCGGTCCCAGCCGTGAGCGCCGCCGCCCCTCCCGTGGTACCCCTGCTGCTGCTGCTGCTGTTGGTGCCTGCAAACACAAACAAACATCGCGCCCACTTCAAAATCTCGCCTGAGAAACTGAATCGACATTATTGCCAAGTAGTGTATGTTGGAAAAAAAAAAAAAAAATAGAAAAATGCCACCGGTAATTGTGGAACTACAGTCAGCATATTCGTCGCTTGAAATTCATCAATTGACAGCAAGAAGTCAAGTGAGAGTGATGAATTCATTGAGTGGCAGCTCGTCTTTCAAGAGCCACGGGGATATTGTGGTCTGCGACAACATAAGCACCAAAGCTATGAAAACAAAGCGTATAGACTCTTGTTTCCATCTTTTTCCGTTTGTTTGTTTGTTTGTTTTTTTTTTTGAGAGCACTTCGACAGCAGCAGCAGATGTGGTTGGTAGCACCCAAAACACAGAGGCAAGAAAAGAGGATTTTTGTCAAGCGGGAGAGTGACTCTGGCGCTCATATCTTTGCAAAGCCAGCGAAAGTCAATATGTAGGATGGAACTGGAACTTTTGGCGGGGGGGAGCTCGATTTGGCCGATGCTTGGGAGAGCGATGAAGTTTTACGTGTTGCGATTTGGAGTCGCTCAAAAGCTTCCAAGTGGACGATTATGACACTCAACCACATGATTTGCTCATTTGGTCACCTTGAGAAGACCAAAAAAAAAAAAAAAAGCTTGTCCAGTCGAAACCAATCATTTGGAAATGTTTGACCGATTCAGGATGGACTTATGCCACTTGTGACCAACTACGATGCAATTAACCCTTTTAGGGACAGCGGCTACTACAGTGGACAGCGTATCATGTTATTAGGTTACAGGGTGCATGAAAGGGTTGAAGCTGACTAGTAAAGTGCCGTGTTACACTCGGCCCACCTAGCTAGCGTCAATCGCTAGTAGCTTCCTTTAGCCATTTGAGCATTGATCTTTAGCCTTAGGATCCAGGTTAAGACTCAGGTACTAGTATCAATATGTGTCCGCACTGTTGTGGTGATGAAGCTCACTAGTCGAATGACTATGGCACACTCGTCTTACTAATGTTTTTTTCACCAACTTTATGACATTATGCCCACTTGGAGGATAACTTTAGCAAACTAGTAGAACTGCTACGTTACTCGTCAGGCAAAATTCTGCACTAGTAGACCAGTGCGCTACTAGTACTCTTTGTGAAGCACGAGATCAGGGGTGTCAAACTCATTTGTGGCGCGGGCCACGTTTTAGTTACCGTTTCCTTTTGAGGACTGTTTTGACTGAAACTATATAAAGAAGTCAAGAATAACTGTTGAATCAACTCTTTTTTAAATTACTATCACGAGGGTTTTGGTAACAAAAAAATGCTTCCCATATCTCTCTTCTTTATTACATACGAGAATTAAAAATTTTGTTCGACATTTGAGAAAGCATCATGGAAAGTGACATGTTTGATCTGCTTTGGCGGGCCACATAAAATGATGTGGCGGGCCAGATCTGGCCCCCCCGGCCTTGAGTTTGACACCCGTGCACTTGACGTTAACTCGCACAGTTATGCCTCACTAGTAACACACATTTGTACAACCCGTGAACATAAATATCATCCTCGTAACACTGTGGAAAAACATTTCAGAATGGACGGCTTATCATGTTGTCAGGTTACAAGGTGGGTGAAAGCGTTAAGATCCATGCACTAGTAGGCTCTTTGTCATCACTAGTAGTGGAAAAAAATTAGGAAGACCGTTATCCTATAAGTTTTCTGAATTGTCTTACTTGTGAGGACAAACTGAATACTAGTAGATGGACCTCAAACTGACTGTCGAATAAATGCTCAAATAACTTTTCCCAGGGCTCTGGTCCGGACCCAGGTGGGTTTTGAAATGCTCCCAAAAAGTGGGACTCACCGTGGAAAGTGTGGCTGGTGATGGAAGGACGGCGGCGTTCCCAACTGGCCCCCAGATCTGGAATCTGCACACAACAAAAGGCGGCGTCACAACGGGCCGCGTCCGCACAACCCGGGCTGCCACGACAGACCCGATGCGCGACATTAGCGGAGATCAAATCAAGGTTTTGTGAGCTCGGAAGGGCCGGGTGGCGACATTTGCATGTTTTGTTGAGCAAATGGAAAAAAAGAAAAGAAAAAAAAAAGAAAAAGCATTGAGCCATCAGCATTGTGGACTCCTCAAGTGGTTCGCTTCCATAGTGGCGCAGCCTTCACAAAGAGCCACTTGAGAGATGGGGGGGAAAAAAGAAAAAGTATCCAAAGGCTTCTTGCAGTCGCCATGGTGATGACCAGCTGCCCTTGTTTAGCCAGTCCACCTGCACGCCAGGAAGTAGGCACCTCCGTGGACATCATGTGACATCTCTACAAATCCTTTTTTTTTAAAAAAATAATTCATGAAATGTTAGGGAGCTGATCCTCTCACAAAGAAAAATGGTTTCATGCTGGAAATATTGACCAAAAAAAACGCACAAGTTTGAAACGACAACTAAACTAATAAAGCTCTAATAAGCAATCAAGGGCCCCCCGGCGCCTCCTTTTTCGTGGCCCATCCTCAAAATAATAAACATTGACGCCAGAGGCCGTGCGAGTGAGAAAATCCTGCGAGCGCATCCCTCAAGGAGCATATTTGGGCAAATTCCTTCATAACCGTTTGTCAACATTCAAGTCCAACAAGGCAGACTTTTTTTTTGTCAATTTCAATCACGCAGCCTTGAGATTTTGTCATGGCCTCTTACGAAAGACGCACCCCGAATTTCATGTCACGATGGCTGAATTTTGGTCATTTTTGAAAAACTGCAAAGGAGGGCAAACGGGTCCTTCAAAACCAAAACGGACGATTTATCGTTCACTTGCAATTTGGGCTCGCTGAGACTTTTTTGTGTTTCGAAAGTAAGCGCTCATTTTTACACTGTCAAGGTTTTTGGGGGGTTGTACGGTTTTTGTGGAAGTTCAAGCCTGTGACACAGAAGCTGCATTTCGCCGGGGTAGGATCGATTAAAAACAGATTTTTTTTGGGGGGGGGGGGGCACATGGAATTTTCAACTAATAACTCCCGGCTTTGGTTACATTTGTCACATCTTTTGAGAAAGGAAAAAGGGCTCGAATCGGAGGTCAAGTAGGAAATATTGGCGCCGGGGCAGATTTAGCGCCAAGCGGGCCGAGCGGCGGGGCCACGCTCGGCCCCCCGCCGGTCAT